CAAGGTTGCAACTCCCCTGCCAGCAGAATTCAAGCTTGTGAAGGCTGCAGAGGATGAAGGGGTTGAAGCTGAAGAGCAGCAGCAATTTCAGTCCTTGGTGGGCAGCCTCTTGTACGCAGCAGTTCACACGAGGCCCGACATCTCTTTCTCGGTTGGGCAGCTGGCTAGGGTGGTGCAGAATCCATCAGAGGAGCAGGTGGATGCAGCTGAGCGTGTGGTGAAGTACCTGAACTCTCACCCAAGCATTGGAGTTCAATATTCCGCATCTGCACAGGTGAAGCAGAAAGGGGTGGAGGTGCTGAAAGAGAAGGGGGAGAGGCTTGGAGAAGGCAAGCTATTTCTCACTTGCTTTACCGATGCTACATGGGCTTCTGAGAAGGAGGATTCCTCATCTGTAGGAGGATACATCTGCGTAGTTGGGGGAGGACCTGTTAGTTGGAGGTCCAAGAAGCAGACGGAGACGGCACTCTCTTCCGTAGAATCAGAGTACATGGCGATGTTCCATGGGGTGAAGGAGGTGATTTGGCTGAGGAGGCTGTTAGAGGAGATTGGCCAGGAGCAGAAAGTTGCTACGCCGCTGTTTTGTGATAGCAAGGGGGCTCTTGGGATGGCCAGGAACGCTGTGCTTCATGGCCTGAACAAGCACATGCGTATCAAGTGGCACTGGCTGCGTAAGGAGGTGAAGAGGGGGACGGTGAATCCAATCTACATCAAGACTCACCAGCAGCCAGCAGACTTTCTCACCAAGAGGCTTGCGGATGAGCCTCATTGGCGTTGTGTGCGCATGAGTGGAATGAGCATGAACTAGCATGGAATGATGGGGATGCAGCCGGCAGGCTGAGGGGGAGTGTGTTGGGTGCAAATTTACATTGCACGACATCCTGCCGTCTGTTTGTACGAGTATGCGTGTGCGAATGCATTTGGGTGTGAATGGAATGTTCGTGTGTTTGTTTGCTTTCGCAATTTTCGCTTGATGCATTTGCAGGTACTCGCGCAATGTGCGCTTCGGCACAACATTGTACGCGCTATGAACAGTGCAAGCAGGAAGGACGAGCTCGCAAAGGAACCCAAGATAGAAGCTTTGCAGTTCTGTTGAGTTGATTGCGCAGATTCAGTTCTATCCAACTCGGAATTGTACTGTTTTGTTTGGTTAACTATAGTGTAGCAGGGAAGGCACTATAGGGGTACAATTTAGGTGAAGGTTGGATGTTGTTTGTCTGTATCTGCATGCTACAAGGCCAGGGGAAACCAGCGGAACCAGCATTTGGCTGGTTAGGCAAAGACAAAACAGGTTCTGTTTTTAGAACCTGAACCTGGTTGTTGTTTTCCCAGGTTGGAAAAACAGAACCAGAGGTTGTTTACCAACCTACCACCTGCTATTTTGTCCAGCCAGGTTGGTTCTGTTGCTTGGAATTATTTGGGATCATCCCTGGTTGTTCCCAGGTTGATTCCCAAGGTCCTTGCTAGCTAGAACTATTTAATCCTTCTCTGTTTGTACCTGAATATAGTCAAATTGATTCAAGCGAATTCCTTCCTCGCTGGAATTTCGTTTCTGCGCTATTTGACGGCGGAATGCTACCCGAGTCAACGCTAGTATGCTAGCACTCCAACGCTAGGCAAACGCTGTCCGAGCCATAACTTAGTAATGGCAGAACTTTTCGCGAGGCAACTTGGCTCGTTTTAAAGCTCCTGGAGCGAGCTTCGATATAGCGAATTCTCAGCTTAATCCGACCGACGGTCTGCACGGCACGCTGCGCGACGTTCAAGATACTCTTGTTATTTTGGCTAAGTCTTTCTTGATCCCTCTCTCTACAAACTCGGACCCGAGGATAGGGGCTGGTCTTGTACCAGGCACCCAGGGACCCTTGGAGGTGACCCCGAGGAGAGGTTTTAAGTTTGATTAAGTCCTAATAGCTTGAGTTTATTAGGCCCTTACACCAACAATAGCAAATTCTCAGCTTAATCCGATCGACGGTCTGCATGGCACGCTGCGCGACGTTCAAGGTACTCTTGTTATTTTGGCTAAGTCTTTCTTAGCTCCTCTCTCTACAAACTCGGACCCGAGGATAGGGGCTGGTTTTGTACCAGGCACCCAAGGACCCTTGGAGGTGACCCCGAGGAGAGGTTTTAAGTTTGATTAAAACTAAATAGCTTGAGTTTATTAGGCCCTTACACCAACAAGCTGGTATCAGAGCTGCGTTATAGTGATCCTTGTTATAGGTAGCTATGGCGGGCAACACCTCGGCGGGAGCTGGTGAATCTTCAGCCCAAGATCGAAGCGGCAGCCAAGATTCTGGTGTTTCGGCGCCAAGGGGAGCGCGAACCAACCAGAGCTCACTGATCAAGGAGGTGCTGAAGAATTTCACCGTCGAGAAGTTCAATGGTGAGGGCTATGATGATTGGGCCTGGAAAATGCAGCTTTACTTCCGTCAGATTGGATTGCTGAAACTAATGATTGGGGAAGAGCCTAGACCGAGTGACCCCGCGCTGCAGGAAGATTGGGACGAGCGCGCATCGGCTGGCTACTACTTGATGTCGCAGAGTTTGGAGCTGAACCAGCGTCACCACGTCATGCACCTGCTGCCGGAGGTTGATTGCGGTCCAAAGGCGTGGACCGTGCTGAAGAAGTTGCACGCTCCTACCTCCGTCACCGCGACGCTTATGATGGAGAGAGAGCTGTCCGCGTTGCGATTGAGCGAGGGAGAGCCGGTGCAACCAGTTCTAGAGAAGATGCGCGACCTCTACGCGAAGTTGGCGACCGCGGGAATCACCTACCGCGCCCTTTTGGCGCCTTTGCACCGCCGCCGAGTATTGCGGCCCAACGGTCCGTGTTTGGCCAAGATACTTGGCCACCCTCATTCCAGCTGCTACCTGCTCCTCATTAGGGCATTGCACAACCCTTGCCAGCTGCCCGGTAGCAAACGCGACCCCCGGTCGTATGTTGACTACCGCGTACATAAGGCTGCCCACCAATGAGTGAAAACGGCGCCTCTCCTCTTCTCCAACACTCTCCTCCTCTGGTCCCTTCACACACTTGAACCCAGAGGGGAATGGAGTAGCCACATGGCCTTCACTCTGCCCAAAGTTGGCAGCCAAGGCCTCCAGGTACTTCCGTTGGTGCACCCGCATGCACCGCTTCTCCACGTCATGTTCGATGCAGAGCCCGAGGTAGAAGTTCACGTCGCCAAGCGCCTTGCACTTGAACTTGTCTTGCAACTTCAGCATCACCTCCTTCACAAGGTCAGAGGAGGGTGAGAAGATGAGGATGTCATCCACGTACACCACCATGAAGCTCCTCTGCTTTCCTCGCCAAGCATGAACAAGGAGTGATCGGCCGTTGAGGGAGTGATGTCGATCTCCTACAACACTTCGCGCAGCTTCAGGTACCATTGCCTAGGGGCTTGCTTGAGCCCATAGATGGCCTTCTTCAGCTTCCACACTTTGCCGCTACCATCGTCAAACCCCTCTGGCTGCGCCATAAAAATCTCCTCCTCGAGGATTCCGTTGAGGAACGCCGTTACGATGTCCAGCTGCTTCACCACCCAACCTTTGATCGCGGCTCCCGCGAGTAGGGTTTGTAGCGTCGTCGGCTACACCATAGAAGCAAACAGCTCATAAAAGTTCACCTTGACCTTCTGCTGGTACCCCTCGGCCACCAGCCTAGACTTGTAACGCTCGATCTTGCCGTCGGCGTCGGACTTGATCTTGAAGAGCCACTTGGACGTAATCGCCTTACGCCCCTCCGGTAGCTCCACCAATTCAAACGTGTCGTTCTCCTCGATGCTCTTCAGCTCAATCTCTATTGCCTTCCTCCACTCCTCAGCACCACTACTCTCCAAGACCTCCTTGAGAGTTGCTGGTTCTCCCGGCATCTCCACCGGAGAGAAGAACGCGAAGGCACACTCCTCGTAGTCACTCTCCATATCGACTCCGACCATCATTGTGGTGGGTGCAAATGCACATTGCACGACATCCTGCCGTCTGTTTGTACGAATATGCGTGTGCGAATGCATTTGTGTGTGAATGGAATGTTCGTGTGTTTGTTTGCTTTCGCAATTTTCGCTTGATGCATTTGCAGGTACTCGCGCAATGTGCACTTCGGCACAACATTGTACGCGCTATGAACAGTGCAAGCAGAAAGGACGAGCCCGCAAAGGAACCCAAGATGGAAGCTTTGCGGTTCGGTTAAATTGATTGCGCAGATCCAGTTCTATCCAACTCGAAATTGTACTGTTTTGTTTGGTTGACTATAGTGTAGCAGGGCAGGCACTATAGGGGTACAATTTAGGTGAAGGTTTGATGTTCTTTGTCTGTATCTGCATGCTACAGGGCCAGGGGAAACCAGCGGAACCAGCATTTGGCTGGTTGGGCAAAGACAAAACAGGTTCTGGTTTTAGAACCTGAACCTGGTTGTTGTTTTCCCAAGTTGGAAAAACAGAACCAGAGGTTGTTTACCAACCTACCACCTGCTATTTTGTCCAGCCAGGTTGGTTCTGTTGCTTGGAATTATTTGGGATCATCCCTGGTTGTTCCCAGGTTGATTCCCAAGGTCCTTGCTAGCTAGAACTATTTAATCCTTCTCTGTTTGTACCTGAATATAGTCAATTGATTCAAGCGAATTCCTTCCTCGCTGGAGTTTCGTTTCTGCGCTATTCGATGGCGGAATGCTACCCGAGTCAACGCTAGTATGCTAGCACTCCAACACTAGGCAAACGCTGTCCGAGCCATAACTTCGAAATGGCAGAACTTTTCGCAAGGCAACTTGGCTTATTTTAAAGCTCTTTGAGTGAGCTTCGATATAGCGAATTCTCAGCTTAATCCGATCGACGCTCTGCACGGCACGCTGCGCGACGTTCAAGGTACTCTTGCTGTTTTGACTAAGTCCTTCTTGATTCCTCTCTCTACAAACTCGGACCCGAGGATAGGGGCTGGTCTTGTACCAGGCACCCAGGGACCCTTGGAGGTGACCCCGAGGAGAGGTTTTTAAGTTTGATTAAGTCCTAATAGCTTGAGTTTCTTAGGCCCTTACACCAACACATTGCCACTCCGGCCAGGGCCGTCTTGCCTGGCTCTCCCGGTGCATCATATGTCAGCCTCTTAGGAGGTTGAACTTTCCTCTTGACCCTTCCTTCCTCTTCAGCTACAGAGACTTGAAGGCCTTGGCGTTGCTGCGGTGTAGCATGGATCCGTGGAGCGCTTGTAGTGCGGGAAGTATGTGTCGGTGCACGCTCGCTCATTTGCTGCACCTCCTCCTCTTCTTCCTCTGCATCCTTGGCCTCCTCTCCCCCATTCACAAGGGAAGATTGCCTCGTGGTGGTGCTGCCGCTGCTTGGCTCCAAAGGCAGCTCCACATGCTCCAAACCGGAACTCTTCACCTCTCCAAACCGCACGCCTATTTTCGCCTCATTCTCCGCCTTCCAATCCTTGCATATCAGGTTCTCCACGAACTTGCAGTCCCTTCTCACCAAGAATTTCTTGTTGAATGGGTCCCAAAGAAGCCACCCCTTGCTGTTTTGAGCCATGCTTGGATGCACGGCCCATATCGCCTTGGCACCAAGCTTGTTGTGCCGAAGATGCTTAGGTACGAGCGCCATGCACATGCACCCGAACACCCGAAGCATATCCACCTTTGGCTTCCTTCCAAGCCACTCCACATAGGGCACCCATTTGTCTGCTCCCACATGAGTCAAAACTCTGTTCTTGGCCACACACGCGCTCGACACCACATCAGGCCAAAAGTAATCGGGTAGCCCGGCTTCAATGAGCAACCCGCGTGCCGCCTCCGTGATCTTGCGGTTCGCTCGCTCGGCGATGTTGTTCATTGGAGGGAAGTATGGCATGGTAAAAGAGTGTCTTATGCCATTCTTCTTGAGCCACAATGAGAACCCCTTGCTCAGGAACTCTCCCCCTCGATCGGTGCGGATCCTCTTCACTAGCTGGTCTTGTTGTCGCTCCACCATCGGGAACCAATCGGTCTTCAACGTTTCAGCAACGTCGCTCTTCTTGGCCAGCACATACACCCACGTCATGCGAGTGTAGACGTCCACGATGGTGAGGAAGTATTCAGCTCCAGCAGCTCCAAGCTTCAGGGGGCCCACCACGTCCATCACCACCTCATCAAGCGGTGCCTTTGCCGTTGCCTCCGAACTAGAGAACGGGAAACGGGTGAACTTGGCTTGCATGCACGTCGGGCAGCCAAGCACCTCATCGGGCTCCCCCTTCACACGTATGCCAGCAACCATCTGGTTCTTCACTAGCTGCTGCAAGATGGGCAACGCCACGTGCCCCATACACCGATGCAAAGTGAGCCAATCACACTCCCCCGTAGCCGAAGTCGGATTGGAGAATGCCGCGCTCGCAATAGCGCCCCACATGCTCTCTCCGTAGTCCTCCTCCGCTGCTGCCTCGGGGTTCTCCTCACCCTTGTGCTGCTCCTTGGCTGCTGCATCACTCTCCTTAGGTTCATTGGGCTTGCTGGTCCCTCCAGGTTTGCTCTTCTTGGGCTCATTTTCCTTCGCGCGACCGTTCGCGCCATCGCCGCTACCAACCGCTTCACCTTTGGTGCTGCCACTTGCCTCTCCTTAGGCATGGGGACCACAGGGATCTGCCACATCTCGTTGTAGACATCCCTATCCTCATGAAGGTCCCAAAGAATCCGCTCGCAAATCCTTGCAATGTAAGTCTTGGCTCCCTTCGAGTTCGTGTCCATGCCGGCCTTTGCCAATCGCCGCACGGAAATCAGGTTCGCAGCAAGGCTGGGCACCCAAAGCACGTTCTTGAGGCCCACCATCTTTCCATCAGCACCCTTGAACATGGCCTTGCCCATGCCTTTCACCTCTGCTCGCTGCCCCAAAGCCGATGTGACATGCTTCACCGGTGACGGTTCGAGTTCGGTGAGCAAGTCCGGGCGAGGTGTCATGCTATAGGTAGCGCCACTATCGATCACCCAATAGTCCAGGGGGTGTAGGGTCACCTTCCCCACAGCTGCTGGCTCCTCAAAGCCTTCATCCTTCTCTAAACCAGCTGGTATTTGCGTCAACACGAAGTAGAATAGACCCGGGTACCGATCGTCGCTCGGGTCCTTGTCGTTATCTCCGTTCTTCATGTTTGCAGCTCCACCTCCGCGACCGTCACGGCCTTCACGGCCTCTTCCTCTCCCTCCTCCTGCTCCTCTTCCATCTTGGTCTTGAGCAGGGGTCCATTCTTCATGGAGCTTGTAGCAATCGCGCCACATGTGTCCGCTCTTGTGGCAATAATGGCACTCGCCATCAAAACGTCAGCGTCCACGACCGTAGCTCTTGTCGTCGCTGCCGTATCCGCCACTTCCGCGGCCTCCACCGAAGTTGCTGCCACCAAACCTTCCTCCCCCTCGTCCTCTGCCTCTTCCTCGGCAATATCTACGGCCGACGCTCGCTGCCCCAGCGCCATCCGCACTCGCCAACTCACGGCGGCGGAAGTCCTCTTGTAGGATTGCGCGCTTCACGTCTTCAAGCGAGAGACGGGGCAGATCACGGTTCAAATTGATGATGAGCGAGGACCACGACTCGGGGAGTAAGGCCAGCAACTTGGTCTTCTTTTGGAGCTCACTGTAGTTCAAATCAGCTCCCTCTAGCCGCGTCAACAAGTCGAAGAATTTATGTACCCCTTCTTCCACGTGTTCATCTTCCTCAATTCGTAGCGTCGCCATTTGCCGTTCCAACACCACAGCTACCACACCCTTGAGAGCAACCCATGCCTTTGGTCCCTTCTCTGGTTCACGCTGGAAAGGCTTGATGTGACGGATTTGACTGCTCCCCAACGCTTGCCCAAGTAGGAGATAGCCTTGTGCGCTCTTCCGCACCCACGGGCTCTTCTCCGGGTCGTTCTCGGGACGCTTCTCCGTTCCTTCCATCACCTCCAGCAGGTCATAGTGGTCAAACACGTTCTCCATTCTGAAGGACCATTCAGCAAAGTTGTCACCATTGAACTTGTCAAGCCCGAACACTCTTGGTTCATCCCTAGAAGGTCCAAGAGTCGGTTGCACGGACGCCATGGCTGAATCACGAGGTTGACCTTGTGCTTGGGGTCCTCCACTGCCACCAGCACCTCTGTCACCCCTTTCTTCAGGTCCAGCCATCGTCGTAGCTGCTCCAAGGCGCTCTGATACAAATTGTTATAACCACAATAGGCTTCTATGAGCCTTAACACGAAAGATAGAGTGCACAGTCGGATTTCTGCACAGCGGCTTCAAACGTTCATAGCGATCTGGTCACAGCTCCAAACGACCTCATTCAACTTGGATCTGGAGTGTCTTAACGTCGCCTACAATAGAAAATTTAGTTCGCACGTTTTCATCAAGAATTGACGATGCAGCGTCAGATTGAACGAACAACACTATGGCAGCAACATAGTCTTAGAACACAAATTAGGAAGAACTAGGAAAAGTTACGGCATGACTCCCAGCTCTTACAAACCCCAAGAGCCGAGGTAGAGTGATGTGAAACAGTGCCATACTGTCCCCAACCAAGAAGGGTCTCGAAACTGTTGGTGTAAGGGCCTAATAAACTCAAGCTATTAGGACTTAATCAAACTTAAAACCTCTCCTCGGGGTCACCTCCAAGGGTCCCTGGGTGCCTGGTACAAGACCAGCCCCTATCCTCGGGTCCGAGTTTGTAGAGAGAGGAGCTAAGAATGACTTAGCCAAAATAACAAGAGTACCTTGAACGTCGCGCAACGTGCCGTGCAGACCGTCGATCGGATAAAGCTGAGAATTCGCTATAACGAAGCTCGCTCCAAGAGCTTTAAAATAAGCCAAGTTGCCTCGCAAAAGGTTCTGTCATTATTAAGTTATGGCTCGGACAGCGTTTGCCTAGCGTTGACTCGGGTAGCATTCCGCCGTCGAGTAGCGCAGAAACGAAACTCCAGCGAGGAAGGAATTCACTTGAATCAATTGACTATATTCAGGTACAAACAGAGAAGGAATTTATAGTTCTAGCTAGCAAGGACCTTGAGAATCAACCTGGGAACAACCAGGGATAATCCCAAATAATTCCAAGCAACAGAACCAACCTGGCTGGACAAAATAGCAGGTGGTAGGTTGGTAAACAACCTCTGGTTCTGTTTTTCCAACCTGGGAAAACAACAACCAGGTTCAGGTTCTAAAAACAGAACCTGTTTTGTCTTTGCCCAACCAGCCAAATGCTGGTTCTGCTGGTTTCCCCTGGCCCTGTAGCATGCAGATACAGACAAACAACATCCAAACTTCACCTAAATTGTACCCCTATAGTGCCTGCCCTACTACACTATAGTCAACCAAACAAAACAGTACAATTTCGAGTTGGATAGAACTGGATCTGCGCAATCAATTCAACCGAACCGCAAAGCTTCCATCTTGGGTTCCTTTGCGGGCTCGTCCTTTCTGCTTGCACTGTTCATAGCGCGTACAATGTTGTGCCGAAGCGCACATTGCGCGAGTACCTGCAAATGCATCAAGCGAAAATTGCGAAAGCAAACAAACACACGAACATTCCATTCATACCCAAATGCATTCGCACACGCATACTCGTACAAACAGATGGCAGGATGTCGTGCAATATGCATTTGCACCCAACACACTCCCCCTCAGCCTGCCGGCTGCATCCCCATCATTCCATGCTAGTTCATGCTCATTCCACTCATGCGCAGACAACGCCAATGAGGCTTATCCGCAAGCCTCTTGGTGAGAAAGTCCGCTGGCGGCTGGTGAGTCTTGATGTGGATCGGATTCACCGTCGCCCTCTTCACCTCCTTACGCAGCCAGTGCCACTTGATACGCATGTGCTTGTTCAGCCCATGAAGCACAGCGTTCCTGGCCATCCCAAGAGCCCCCTTGCTATCACAAAACAGCGGCGTAAACACCAAATCACCTCCTCAGCCAAATCACCTCCTTCACCCCATGGAACATCGCCATGTACTCTGATTCTACGGAAGAGAGTGCCGTCTCCGTCTGCTTCTTGGACCTCCAACTAACAGGTCCTCCCCCAACTACGCAGATGTATCCTCCCACAGATGAGGAATCCTCCTTCTCAGAAGCCCATGTAGCATCGGTAAAGCAAGTGAGAAATAGCTTGCCTTCTCCAAGCCTCTCCCCCTTCTCTTTCAGCACCTCCACCCCTTTCTGCTTCACCTGTGCAGATGCGGAGTATTGAACTCCAATGCTTGGGTGAGAGTTCAGGTACTTCACCACACGCTCAGCTGCATCCACCTGCTCCTCTGATGGATTCTGCACCACCCTAGCCAGCTGCCCAACCGAGAAAGAGATGTCGGGCCTCGTGTAAACTGCTGCGTACAAGAGGCTGCCCACCAAGGACTGAAATTGCTGCTGCTCTTCAGCTTCAACCCCTTCATCCTCTGCAGCCTTCACAAGCTTGAATTCTGCTGGCAGGGGAGTTGCAACCTTGCGTTCATTCTCAATCCCATACTTCTCCCCCAGCTCCTTGATGAACTTCTCCTGGTGCAGCTTCAACCACCTGTGATCTGGATCCCTCTCCACGTGCATCCCGAGGTAGTACTTTACCTCCCCAAGGTTCTTGCACTTGAAGTTTTCCATCAGTTGCTGCTGCACTTTCTGGATCTCCTTCATGCTGCTGCTAAAGAGAAGAATGTCGTCCACGTAGACCAAAAACAGCACCAGCTTCTCCCCCTCGCCCTTGAGAAAGAGGCTCTCATCACAGCTGCTGGTCCTGAATCCCATCTCCTCTAAAACAGCTGCCAACTTCTGGTACCAGCAGCGTGGCGCCTGCTTCAAGCCGTAGATGGACTTGTTGAGCTTGCACACCCTGCCCGTACCATCCTCATACCCAGGCGGCTGCGTCATGTACACATCCTCCTCTAAAATCCCATTCAGGAATGCCGTTGAAATATCCATCTGAATGATGAATTTCCCACTAACAGCTGCATCTGCCAACAAGACACGGAGGGTAGGGGGTTTGGCAGTGGGAGCAAAGATCTCGTTGAAGTCCTGCTTCTCCTTCTGCATAAACCCCTTCGCCACCAGCCTACTCTTGTAGATGGTGACCTGCCCCTTGTCATCGGTCTTGATCCTCAGCACCCACTTGCATTGTATCGCTTTCTTCCCATCAGGCAGCACCACCAGATCCCATGTCCTATTCTCCAGCAGACTCTGGTACTCAGCATCCCTAGAAGCCAGCCACTTGTCCCTATCTGGTCCAGCTAATGCCTCCTCCATGCTAGCTGGTTCCTCTGGTGCAGGGGCAAGAAAACAGTACGCAGGCTCATCCTCCTCATCCGGGTCATAGCCATGAGGTAGAATCAGCAATGCCTCTTCGGTCCCTAGCTGCTGCTCTGCTGCATCAGTTCCTGCAGTCAGCTTCTTAGTAGCCATACGGATACGTCCTGGCCTGGAGACGGGTGTCTCCCATCCCTTCATAACGACACCCTTCGGCTTCTTAGTTTTTCCCTGCTGCTTCTCTCCTCCCTCGGGTCCAGCAGCTCCACTAGTGCTGCCGCCAGTTTCCACACCATTTTCTCCACCAGCAGATGCCTCCTGTATCTTCTCTCCATCACCATTTCCAGCAGCTGCCTCCTCTCCCTCCTCCCACACACTAGGAGTCAGGTCCAGCTGCATGGTGATCTGCTCCATCTGCTGGGACACCCTTGCCTCCGGCTGTTTCTCCCAGCTCCCATACATCATGCCCTCAATGAATTTCACATCCCTGCTGTCAAACAACACACCCTTGGATGGTTCCCACAGCAGCCATCCCTTGCTCTCAGCAGCCAGCCCCAAATGCACACACCAGATTGCACTCGCCCCCAACTTACTGCGGTAGGTCTTGGGGACGTGGGCGACTGCCATGCAACCGAACACCCTCAGCATGTCCACCGGCGGCTTCCTCCCAAGCCACCTCTCCAACGGCACCCACGAGTCATCCCCAACCTTGGTGAGCACCCTGTTCCTAGCGACAGTGGCGTGCCGGACAGCATGAGGCCACATAGAATTGCTCAGCCCAGATTCTATGAGCAGCGCCCTAGCTGTCTCCAGAATGGTCCGGTTTGCCCGTTCTGCTACACCATTGGACTGTGGGGTATAAGCCGTGGTCAGCTCTCTCTGGATGCCCTGCTTCTTGAGCCAGGCCGTCATTTCAGCTCCAAGGAACTCACCACCCCGGTCTGTCCTAATCCGCTTCACTACACACTCCGCCTGCTTCTCCACGAATGGCAGCCAATCGTCCCGTATCGTGGAGGCGGCGTGGTCCTTCTGCTTCAGCGGATACGCCCACATCAGCCTGCTCCAGTCATCCACAATTGTAAGAAAATACCGCTCCCCCTTGTGCCCTTGCACCGGCAGCGGCCCCACCAAGTCCATGTGGACCAGCTCCAAAGGCTTCTTGCTCCTGCCAGCCACACTATGGAAAGGGAAACGGGTGAACTTTGAAAGCAAACAGATTTCACAGTTGTCATCGGGTGGCTGTCCGTTCAGCTTCAGACCCTTAACGGCTCCGTCCTTCTCCAGCTGCTTCAGCAAAGGCATTGCCACATGCCCTAAGCGCCGGTGTGCCGTTGCCCAATCTGTCTCCCCAGATCTGGCCGACACTTTCACACCAACCCCTCCAACGGCATTGCACTCCCCTTGGGATGCAGACCCCTCTCCAGCCTGCCCCCCACCATGCCACGCCAGGGCCGGCAGCTGCCACATAGATCTGTACACGTCCTTGCTCTCGTGCAGATCCCAAAGCACCCGATTGCCCAGCTTCCCCTTATAAGTGCGTGCCCCATCCGTGTTGGTGTTCACCCCAGCCTTGCCAAGCTTACGGAGGGAGATAAGGTTGGCCTTCAGGTCGGGGACGAAGAGAACGTCGTGCAGCACCACCGGCTTGCCATCCGCTCCCTTAAACGCAGCTCGTCCCGCACCAGCCACCTTCAACATGTGTCCAGAGGCGGAGCACACTTCATTGATCGGTGCAGCTCGTACTTCGTCCAGCAGGTCCTTGCGCGGCGTCATCGTCCAAGCAGCGCCTGTATCCAACACCCAATAGTCTAGGGGGTGCAGCTCTGCTCCAACTTTGGCAGAGGCGTCTCCTTGCTCCCCCTTGTCTCCCACATGGAAGAATTGGCCCGCGGTGCGCTCCTTCTTCTTCT